TTTATCGGGCAATATATCTGCGTTACATTGTGGTTGCTATATCAGATGCCGAATACTTTGATCTGATAAAATTAATGCTTAAATTTGAAAATCAAATGGGCGACTTAACTTGTGTTTGACTGTTGATAAAGTAATTGAGTTCTAATGTGAGGAAAGTAGAGAACTAGGTAGTGGGAAGTTTCTATGCAATTAATATTGCCAGTATACCTCCCAATATGAGATATTACAAAATTACAACTTTCAGGGTAAAAAGCTAAAGCTATTAGGTGAAAAATACTATATGTTCAAAATCTCCTGGTTATGGAATTTAAATATGAGGATTTGAAGGGGTTTGGAGGGATTTAATTCATCTCCAAAACAAAACTCCCTTCTCCCTGTTAAAAAAACTCAGAAACCTTTTGCTGGCTTTCACTCTACTCTCATCTACTCCGCCATCCAAGCACACTGTTAGAGATTTTTATAAGTTGAACCTAAAGTGTCAAAACCATTGAATTGAAATTGTTCTGACAGTTTATCAGGATTCTCAACTCTGGAAGGCTCATCATGTACTTACGAGATATTTCAACTATGTCTTTAGGATTGAGTTATGATAATACTAAAGTTTAAGTTCTTTTCTTTTTTGGTGAAAAGATCTAAGTGAAGTTTTTTTCTCTATTAAGCTACTCTTGACTGTGAACAAATATCTTCTATAGAGTAGATAGGAGAAGTGCAGAAATTTGGGTTTTCATTTGAATGACCGCCAAAGGGCTGCTAGGATGCCTGATTTTGTTTTGTTTGCTACTTGACTTCTCTTTTAAATGCCAGGGAAGGAAAATTCTGCTAATCAAAAGGAGCAATCATATAAGCCATTGCCCTTGCCCTTGCCCTTGCCCAGTCCATCAGCTCAAAAGGCTGTGTCTCATATGTAACCTCCACTGCCTAGGTTGGTGGATCAGTGCCAAATAAGCAATCCTTCGTGTATGGCAGTCAGACAGCAGATCCTGCAGCTGATCTTAGTGATCGGCCTTTAGATTTTGCATCTAGGTTTAGTAATGATCATGACTCACAGATGCAGTCCAACCATGTTGCTCATCATGAATCAATGGGAACTGTGAGAGGCATTAACCCTATTGCTGCTGCATCTTCAATTAACTTGGACTCCTCCATTAGCACCTGGTTCAGTTTATCCTCCAGTTCTTCCGCCAGGACCACTGGTTTTGCTCCAAGCCTTGTCAGGTTTCTGACTTATTCCCCAGGTTCTAGTATGCTAATACAATATTCATTTTTCAGCATGATCCATTGTCAGTATCTTCCCCTGTTTCTGGGCACACAGCACCTTCATTTCCAAGGTTTCCTGGTCCAAGTTTTCAGCCACCCTTTCCATCTTCCAGTGCTCCTTTTGGTCTTGCTACAGGAGCTCAACTTCATCCTGGTACAGCCTTTGCTGGTGATATGTATGGAACCATTTTTGAACGACCAAAAAAGGTAATGCATCCTTTACAGTGGTTAAATATGAAATCTTTCATGATATTATTATCGCATTCTTCTCATGGAATTTTATCCAGGGACCTGTGCCTGATTGGCTTAAAGAAGAATATCAAGGAACAAAGCCACTATAGCTAAGTCTTCTTTAGATCATTCTAGAGAGGAAACACCATCCATTGAGGATGACGCTGTTGATAAATCCTTGGCTAAAAGTGATCAAGCTGATAGCAAAAGCATTGATTCTTCTAGATCAACTGAAGAAGAGGATGATGATGAGGTTTTATCTGTTTCTGCCTTTAACTTGATATCTCAGAGTGCCTTGGATGAGTTTTCTCATAATGATTTTGATGTCCTTGAGACATGACCCTGACATTTTTATTCTATGAAGGATTATGTAGAAGCGGCTAGAACTGCAGCTATTAACCAAAAAAAATAAAAAGGTACTAACTCAAGTCCTTTTAAAGGTTGCTTCTGTTTAAGCACTTGTGGTTGTTCATATTAATGTTTTTTTGTGATAGATGTAATTTTCATGCCTTTGAACAGGTCATAGATGAGCTGTTTGATGAAATTGCTACCAAAATTGTAAATGAAGATGACTCAACAGTAGGTAAGTGAATGCTGGTCTTTGAATTTTTTTTTTCTCTATATTTCTTATGTGAATACTGAAGTCTGCTAACTTCGTCTTTGATATTTTGTTTGTGGTGCCATCTTTTCTTTCAATTTAACCATTTGTATTTTGACTACTGCTGAACTGCAGTTGACGGCAACGCTGTTGCTTCAAATCACAAGGTATTGCGATCTTCCTCTCCGGTTCCAACTTCTAAGGCTTCTGCAAGGGTACTAGTTCCAGGCGAAGCAAAGGAACCAAACACTGCAGGTGTTGGAGAAAAATCTAGTTCAAGCTCCCATGGCAATGTGCTGGGCCTTGCAAATTATGCCTCTGGGGATGCAGATGCAAATGATGAACTTCAAAGTTCCAGGATTTCAGATTCAAGGAGTTATGCTACTGTTGTACGGTTCAGCGTTAAGAAGCTTTTGCAAGAAAATGATGCATCAGAGAATGGCAATTCACAGGTGTTACTTGATGAACAAAGTGAAGTTGAAAAGAATTTTGGAAGTGATGCGAGGAGGTCAAAAAACAATAGTGACACTACTACTGATAACAGTGCAGACAGGAACCATGAAAAGTCATTTTCTTCCAAGGTGGTTTATGGAGATGAAATTAACTATAATAGCGGAAAACTGCAAGATGCAAATAATAGTTCTGGGATGAATGATACTTTAGGAGAACGGGTGAAAAAGATCTGATTCTGAGCTGCCTGACAAAGGCACTGGTAAAAAATCAACAAAATCTGAATCTCAAGGCAGGGAAACAAGAGTAAAATCAGATAAGAATGATCAACTTGATGGTAGAAAGAGTTCTTTTGGGAAAGACCCTGGTAGTGGTAAGGAGTTAGAGGTTAGTTGGAGTAGGGAAGATGAGAAGGGAGATGAGAATCTTCTGAGAGAGGATGAGAGGCTTCGAAAGCAAAAAAAGAAGATCGAAATGGCTCAAAAGAGAGAACAAAAGAGCATAAAACTGGGGGCAGAGCTAAAGAATCTGTTTCAAGAAAAAGATCCAACCATCTTGATGCCGAGGATGATAAGAAAGACACAGAGAGATCTCATAGAGCAAGTGCCAAAGAAGAAGTTTACAGGAAAAGATAATGGACAAAAGAAGAAGATAGATCAAGACATAAAAATAGAAGTAGCTCAAGCAGGTACAAGAGAAGACACTCCTTGTCCATTGGCATAGAGGCAGAAACAGCAAGGACAAGTCATGTGTTCATGCTAATGACTCAAGTGATGAAGCATCAGCTGGTTCTAAGAGGTTCATCATTGAGATCTAATGATTATTTATTCCTGTTGTCTTTTAATTGAGCTATGCAGCTTCTAACTTTCTGTTGTATATCACAGGAAGTTGCATTCAAGAAAACAACACTTATCACTTTCACCTGTCAGGTCTAGAAGAAGGTAACTGTATCAGTACTTGATCAGTTTTGTTCATGTTTTGCTTTTATGCAACCTGAGCTCTTGGCAGGTTTAGTCTGTTCTATTGTAAGGGTACTTTTGGATATTCATCCTTGTGATCTTGAACTTTTGAAAAGTGGATTTGTTGGTCATATGGAAATACTGTCATGGTAAATAAAATGAACTTAAATTAAAGAAACAAAGTTGACCTGTTTCAAATACTACCCAGTACTCAACAGTGTGCTTTAACTTTCATGGTGTGTTTATTGTCCCATCATTTTCTTTTGAATGGGACTTCTGGTAGTTTCCTTTTTTTGTCTGCGAGTTCTTTTGTTGTTTTAATGGATGGTTTCCACAAGGTTAATTTGTTGGTTTAAATTTTGATTGTTGTTGTGTTGTCAACTACACGTGTTTGCTGACTCGATAGATGGTTGGGTATTTTTCACCATATTCAATTGTCAAGCAGATATAGTATGACCTGTCGACTAAATTGTCTATGGAAGCAACACTATAAAGAGACAAAATAAAGTATTAGGCTACATTATTTACTGAGTTTTTGTTTTTTTTCTTGAAAAGTTCATGTCTTGCCTGAAGGATAATGTGTAGACATGTGACACCGGCCTTTTAGATATATGTTGTTGTTACTGCTTGTTTGTGTGTCAAGTGTGTGTGTGTTTAAAAAAAACATCATGGTTGCTGATCTTTGTATATTGTGGTCTTAATATGTCATCTGTCTAATTTTACTCTGTTAATTGTCCTTTTTTTTGCATCTAACTAATATCCTTGTTTATGCTATATATGGCCACATCTCTTTCTCCCTGGCTCCTACTATCTTTTCTGTCCTTTTTTTCACATATTGCTTCATTTTTACTTTTTGTTTAATAGTGAACAATGATATGTTAATCAGCAAATTTGACTACTAATGTGGGACAAATTTCTGATATGAATGTTGTTGTCTGGTGGTGATTGTGGAGATGTTAATGTTTGATAGTTACCAAACAAAAGGGAAACAGAAAATTATCTTTCCTTTATGTGTTATCTTGACTAATTTATGCCTTTATTTTATATGTTATCTTAACTACTTTTATAGTCACACCATTCTTGATTTTCTTTTTCCCCATGTGTATATATTTTGCATTTCTCCCATTGCAAATTATAAGGAAATTTGACAAAATTAATAATGGTGCTATGCATCAAAAGTTACAAAGCTCGGGTTGTTCTATATGATTTATTCAGCAGTCACTATCTTTTTACACTTTTCTAAGGGGTTGGTTTTTTGGACTTTCTTAGTTATTGCTTGAAGGTGTTCAGTTTCCCGTTTAAATATCACCAAAAGATAACAATTATGTAGCAGGCTGGTTATTACCAAGTTTGACTCTGCACAAGGCTGAGCATTTCTCTTAAGTTATATATTTTTAACTTACCAAATCGGTATGATGTATGTTTTCATTTCTAGAAAAGTTTCACGGTCACCACATAGCAAGCATTTTCAGTGCAGGCATTCTCCTTACTCTTCTTTTGAGACTACCAGGTATGTTACCATGCAGTCGGTGGAATCAGATTACAGTGTTTTTGAGACACACAACCATCATCACAACAGCATTCAACTCAGGTAAAGGGATCAGGGTTCCGAATCTTCAACTTTCTAGGTTGTCTAGTTTTATTTAATTTACGTACTTTTGCGAGCGAAGGAGGTCAAGATCAAGATCACCTGTTTGGCGATATAGATGATTGAAACGCAGTGTTTCATTTGGTTGATACACGTTTATGAGTGTATAGAAGACATTTATGTTCCGGATATTTACAGGTAGATGTTCCCTTAATCTTGAGATGTCTTGAAATCTGCTTGTCATATTGAGAGAGGAGCATGTGTCAAATGGATGCATGATGAAGAGGAGATTAAGATGGGTGCTCTAAAGCCGAGCTAAGAGGACTCGGGTTGGAAGTCTCAGGCATGATAATGACCCTTGCAAGATATTCAACGATTCCTGGGTCCTAATATATTTCTCCGTCTTGCCTAGTTTTTTATTCAATCTTTCCTGGTTTGTTGGTTCTAGATGTTGTAACATATATCATTTCATGTAATTCAGTTTTTATCCACCAGTTGTTCTCTGTGATTTCAAATTTGGCTTATTAAATGGCAAAACCAAAATCAAGGTGTTTTCTGTTTTTTACTTTTAACTTTTTTAGAACTTTTTGTGCAATTTTTCATCTGAGGAAGATGAGAGCCGTATTAACCTATGATGAACTAAATGATGCACTCTGAAGCCCGCAAAATTTTACACGAGAGCTAAATTAATTGTCCAATTGGAGTAAAAGATTTATGGGCCTACAATCGGATTTTCAAGGGAGGCAAAATTCGATTTTTTCTTTTTTTTTTTTTGGCAAATGGAGGTTTGACTTTCCAATGACGCAATACCTCACATGTCCCATGGGTTTTCCCCGTGTTGGCGCCGCAACCTTTGTTGTTAGTGCTTCCCTTGCGGACTTTGTTTGTTCCTCTTCCACTTCTTTGCTTACTTTTCAGTTAAAGTTTCACTCTTCCAATTCTTGTCCTTGTTCATACCAAACTGATCATTCTTTATAATATCGAAAATCAAACAAAACCCATCAAAAACTTGCCTTCCATTATTCTGAAAACTTCTCTATAATGAAGGTCCATTCTTTTTCACGTCAATATTTTCCTGTTCTTACTGCATGAAATCAAGCTCTCAATGTATGGCTTTTGTTTTTTGGTTTCATTTTGGTTAATACAGGCGTTGCAGATTGGATTATGGTCAGTTTGGGTATCTGGGATTCTCCTAATTGCTCTCTCCCTTTATGCTACGCAGAGGTTACCTCTCTCCAAGAATCCAATTTTCAATCATGGAAGCTCCAGCGACCTGGGCACTCCCAAAATCACTATTTTCACAGCGCCTACTCCTTTTACAGGTTCTTTAGGGACTAAACAAAGTCTAGCTATTCTGTCATGGCTTGCTTTATCTCCCCAAATCACAGTCATTCTCTTTAGCCAACACCCTTCTGCTTCTTCTTTTGCCACTGCTTTTGGTTCCCGGGTTTTGGTCGAACCCGATATTGATTTCACGTAAGAAATTTATTTATCTTTCTTATTGGAATCTTTAGATTCTTATTTATTGGCTGCATTTTAGTTTGATCTCTCTTCTTTTTTTTTTTTTTTGGTATAAACAATGATATAAAAATGTTATAAGTTTTAACCATATTCAATGATTTTTCAGAGTTATTTTAATTGTTTTAGCTGTGAATTGGTGAGCATTTATATACTTTTAGTAACAAGCTTTTCACAATTTCCAAAGGTTTCTGCTCTGTGTTGATGATATAGGTTTCTTGGGGTTCCATTTTTTCATTCCATGGTGGCAAAGTCACGGGCATTTCCGTCTGACATATATGTTTTGATGGATACGGAAAGTATTCTCCTGCCTGACTTTGTTTCGGCATTAAATTATGCTCATGAACTTGATAATGATTGGTTCCTGTTTGCTTATCCACGAAATGTATCAAATTTCCCGTTCTATCTGGATGAGGATGGGAAATATTGGCTAAAAGAAGATGGTAAAAGGATCAGAATTCAGGAGGTATGAAGGTACAGAATCCACATTGAAAATCGATAATCTACCGGAGAGAACTTCATTTGACATCATTGTCCCTTTCATCAGTTGCAGGATACACTTGGCTCAAGTTGGCAGTGGAATTGTTGTGAAGGAAGAATGATGATAGCGTGGAACAATGGGGAGCTCCCCTTACATCATGGAGTGCTTCCTCCTTTCCTATATGGAAGAGGAGTTCACAACCACTGGCTCATTGACGAGGCATTGTCCAGTGGATTAAGGTTTGTGTTTGATGCCAGTTGGGCCATCTCAATATTTGCTCTGGATGATTCAAGGCGTTGGTCTAATGGTTTAGTTAAGAGCTCCATCGTTTCTAATATTGAAAAGGGAAGTTGGGAATATGATGGCAATTCCCATCTTGCAGCATTGTATGGATCATCATCTCTTCACAAAATTCATTATTCTGGAGTGATGAAACTTTTGAAATGTGATGGTCAGTACCTTCTTATTAATACTACAGAAGATATCCTTCATCCATATGCCTACAAAAAGATGAGCTTATGGAAAGGAAGCATTGGAAAATGTTGGAGGTCAAAGAAAACTTTGCCTTGTGTTTCTGGAACTAAAAAGTCACAGAACGGAATGTCAGGTTGCTTTCTGAAAGATCGATTAGTGCCTGCAACAACTTTGAAGTTTCCCTTTTCCTTAGAGTCACTCCTTTCCATCACTGCAGACAAGAATAGGACAGTTGTGCTTGCAGTTGCTGGATATAGTTACAAGGACATGTTAATGAGTTGGGTCTGCAGATTGAGGCGCCTCAGAATTACGAACTTTTTGGTATGTGCACTTGATTATGAGACCTATCAGTTCTCCATAATGCAGGTATTTCCTCTTATTCTTCTACTTCTTTTTTAGTTTCACTTTTTTTCCTTTTTCATGTTTCAGCTTAATCCTCAGGTTATTCTTAGTTTGATATCACAACTTAGTCTTAGACCACACAAGCAGATTTTGGAATTAAATAAGAATTTATGACATGATTAACGTGGATTAAATAAAGTTGTTGCTTGAAAACTATTGCCTCTTCACAGAATCTGTTATAGATTTTGTTCTCGGTAAGGATTGACCATATAGGATGATTTAAATATCTTGTTTGTTGTGGTAGTTTGCTTGTTTCCTCTCCTGTACAATTGAATGAGTTCTTTTTATGTCCCAAAGAATATTGAGACGTAATAGCATTTCTGAGTTCTGTAATTATTATGATTTACTGCCCTTGAAATCTACTTGAGGTTCTTTTCTGAACATTCTCCCTCAAAATTTTATGGCACCTTTTGCTTTCAGAATGGTTTTGTTCTGGGATTCTGTTTTGTTCTATGATTTAGTGGAATTAAGGATTCTGTTTTGTTCTAGGGCCTGCCTGTCTTCAGTGATCCATCAGCTCCAAGTAACATTAGCTTTAATGACTGCCACTTTGGAACAAAATGCTTTCAGAGAGTAACCAAGGTGAAATCGAGAATGGTTTTAAAGATACTGAAGCTAGGATACAATGTACTTTTGAGTGATGTGGATGTATACTGGTTCAGAAATCCATTGCCATTGCTTTCCTCTTTTGATCCTGCCATTCTTGCAGTTCAGTCTGATGAATACAACCAAACAGGTGATTATTGCCATAGCACTAATACTAGACTAAGTGAATATCAAATCATTTCTGTGGTCTAGAAATATGAACTGCATGTGCATAGAGGAAAAATCATTAGGTCAGGAGTAAACAAAGTATTAGCTCAAAGTGGTTAAACTTTAGAGCAATTTTCTAATTCATACATGTTCTTCTTTTACCAAAATAAAAAAAAAAACTGTATTTGCATGTTACTTTCTGCCTATAGTGTCTGGTTTATGCAGAAAAACATATATTATCTATTTCTTTGAATTGAATACTAGATTGTGTTTTAGCATCTCTGTGAAAGGACTGTGAAAGTATAATATCAACCCTTAGTCTGAATGTAAAAGACATCCTCAGTCTTATCTAGTATTGTTCCCTTGCAGGGCCTATAAACTTACCTAGACGCTTGAACTCTGGCTTTTACTTTGCTCGTTCTAATGGTCCAACTATTGCTGCTTTGGGAAAGGTAGTGAGGCACGCTGCAACTTCTGGCCTATCTGAGCAGCCAAGTTTCTATGACACATTATGTGGCAAAGGGGGTTCCACTCGTAAGGGTGATAATAGATGTGTGGAACCTGAGACAAATTTAAGCATTCATTTCTTGGACAGAAATCTTTTTCCAAATGGCGCATACTTGGGGCTATGGGAGAGAAATAATGCGACATCAGCCTGCAAGAAGCTGGGTTGTATTGTTCTTCATAACAATTGGATTAGTGGAAGAATGAAGAAGCTGCAGCGTCAGGTATTATCAGGCCTATGGGACTATGATATTAGCACAAGGATGTGCTTGATGTGCTCTGAGAATAAATTGACTAGAAATTTTGGAACCTAGTTTGTGTCATATCATCATAACTTTATGGATAACTTTGGAATTCTTGTGAAAGAGAGCAAAATAAAATGCCATTGTTGCTTGTGTAATGCCTCGGTTTCATCAATCTTTCTGTGGGAGAATACTAAAATATAGAAGCCGGCCATAAAATACAAAAATGGCATCCAGAGTGGGTAATGCAGAAGAATACTTACGATAAAACAAAGATGGTTCTCCATATCCCATGCAACAGAATATGATGAAACCTCTGCATCAGGTGCGTTCTAATCCCCAGCTATGCTGAAGTGGTGTGCTGATTTCTTAGGATTTGTCAGACATGCCAACCATGATTCTGGATGCAAGAAAGATTTGAGAGGAGCTCCCATGTCTGTTGACTTGTCTTCACAATCAAGGGATATGGCTGTGAGGATAGTTCATGCAGGTGGGCGAGAGGAACTGTATCAAAATGCTGTTCCTGTATCCCATCTGATGGAAAAATATCCAGGGATGTGTGTCGCACGTCCTGAAGTATTCAAAAATCCTCATGAGTCCCTTTTATGGCCTGAAGATAGCCTGTTGCCTGGCCAGAAGTATTACATTATCCCATCCACTACAATCCAAAAACTTAAGCGTAGACACGAGGAGAAGGTTAAGGTCAAAGGAGATGGTAAAGCCAGAGAAGATATGTCAGATGCAAGAATTACTTGGGATGTAAGTGGAGAAAACTTGGAGGAATCTGTTTATTCTGCAAAAGAATTCTATGTTACCAAGCCTTCCAAGGTATCTAAAGTTCCAAGGGAGAGACTGTCCAAATATTCACTGCGAAAAGCTGGAAGGGTAAAGAAGCCTTTTGTACCCCCTCTGCCGAGGACAAGATTGTTGCGGGAATCAGGTTGGGAACCTGGCTTAACTTCTGTACAAGAACTTTCTCCATGACCCTTTTTCTACCTGAAGGTTTTCTTTCTCTTCCTGTTCTGGTATGTGATCATGCAAAAGAGTACATTGCTCAATATGCCTGTCACTTTCTTGAGATATTTGTAGGATAAGTATAAACTTAAATAAATTGGAAACATTCAATTTTCATTTCTGTGTTGCAGTTGTTATGTTTCTGTAATAGGGGACCATTTCCTTATTTTCCATTGTCATATTCTCCCACTATTTATAGATTTATATTGAGATATCAGTCAGCTATGTTTCATGCCATGATTTGGCATCATTTTATGTTCTTAATGAGATTATTGGAAAATTTTCTTTTGCACCAGTTTGGTTCTGGTAGAGTGTTTGCTTTTTTAGTCATCCTTAAGCTCGGCATGCAGTTTTTGTCCTCCATATCCAAAATATTTAGTGATTTCCAGTTGAAGGAAATCACATCCACTGAAGAAGGGATAACAATTCTACAAATTAATTTGAGAAAAGATGCGTGATTTTGATTAATCACATGCATCAAGCCGTTTAAAGTTGTTGAATAAGTGTCATAAAATTTATGACAAAACCTTGGTTAAAATCCATGTGTAGACAACCGAAAGAGTTGGTGGGATCGTCACTGCACAGGACGTCAAAATCTCGCACGGTTTCTGCTCGAACATTATTTAGTCCCCCGGTCGCAAAGTCAATTTCCGTGACTGCTCCCACCAAAGTATGGGTTGCTGAGATTGGCAATCCCAGCTTTGATGCAAAGAGAACGACAGAAGCTGCAGCAAACTCAGCTTCAAACCCTCTGGTTGGCGTGAGTTCTGTTTTCTTCTTCTCAATCGTTACTATCACACGATACCCCCACATCATAAGCCCTGCTACAATTCCAAATCCTCTCTATGCGAGAACATCATTTGGTATAACGATCTCACTTCCGGTGGCATCTCCTTGGAGAATCGATAATGCAGCAGCCAGAGGACCTATTGCGTCGGAAACATCATTTCCGCTGTGGGCGAATGACATGAAGCAAGATGAAAACACCTGCATGTATCCAAAGACCCCATTAACTATTTCCAGTTGGGTGCCTTTAGGCCCTGAGACACCTGAGAGAAGCCCGAGATTTTTATTCATAGGAGTATTCGCTTGTGGCTCTGAGTGTGATGAAGTGGATTTGACCAGGAGATGACCAAGCTGTTTTTTGATAATTTCGTAAACCAGGAGTGCGCCGGCTGCTCCACAGCGCAAAGCCTGAGCAAGAGCTAACGGAAAGCTCTTAATAGAAAGGCTGCAAAAGAAATCCCAGTCACACCCAGAAAAACCGCAATTTGTGCTACCGCAGCTGCTGTTTGTCTAGGATTATGAGCACTGTAAACAAACTAAGAAAACAAGAAAACAGGTTGTTAGAGCAACTGAACAAGAGGAACATCTCGATGAAGTTCAAACCTCCTCTAAATAGCTAGCTAACCCCCCTACCACTTACAATTGCACATGGTTTTTCTTTTGTTCTAGAACTTAAGGAAATTCAAACGTCCTCTTGACGCAATATAAAATTTTGGCAACATTTACCCCAGAAACGGGAAAATTTGTAATCACCAGGAAAAGACAGGAAGCTAGGCTGATTAATATTCCAATGAAAAAGAACATACCCTGCGGATTCATTTGTAAACTAGAAATGACACCACTGCTCCCATTATAGGTGAGATAACCCACGATGAAGTTACCCTTGCAAATGAGCTCCAGAAAACAGCGCAAGCTCCTCCATAAACCCGGCCAAATCCAACCATTGATCCAACTATACAGTGCGTGGTGGAAACTGGCTAACCATAGGATGATGCAACCTGGGTAATACATAAGTGATACATAATGAAAGACGAGAAGGAAAAAGCGGAGAGTGCACTAGCATACAAATGTTACGAGGGCAACTGCTTTCAGAGTAAGGCCTTAAACGAAAGAGAAACTACATAGTTAAAAGGTTGCCTGTTAGGAAATGTGTAGCTACAATTGAGTATATATATTTCATTTAGTCCAGAGCTCTTATGATCGCTGAAAACTTCTTTTTCTTACCCCCATTACCAAAGGTGATTGATTGAGTAGCTGGAGGATTCTTGAACTCATTGGAGCATGCAAGTCTTCCCAGTTTTTCTGGAGAAGTTTATGCACCCCATTATTTTACCATCTATGGAGTTTGTCTATCTACCTATATGTCTATCTGTTTTGTGTTAAACACAAAAATTATGAGATCACAATCTATGTTAACATGTTAAATACAAATTTTTTTTTATTAAATTTTATATAATTTTGTTAAAATTTTAAATTATATCATTTTTTTTATAATTTTCACATCATGTCTAAAATTACCATTCCTATCCACTATTCCTCCCCGTGAGAAAAGAGAAAATAGGGAGAGAGTAGGAGGCAGCAAATTTTTAGTCGTGGGTCTCAAATAATTGACGCAATAAGATTGGTACAGGTTCAACAATTACGTAGAGGAACAGTGAAGCACATATATTCCGTAGGACACCAGTGAAACACATATGTTACAGACGAATTCCATGGCTCCAGAGTCCAGACAAATAATGCTTAGAGCAGCAGATTACAATTTTTTATCCTATCAAAAAGGGTTAGCAGTTGAACTTCCTAGAGAATTGTTCTTCAGTATATTCTACCCGTGTCCTAGAACAAGTTCTAACCCGCCATATCTCTCTTTTTGTCCCAATTGGATGAGCAATGAGCAATTAATTTCCATAAGATTTGTTGACAAATGATAAGCACAAATGAGTTTACATTAATTGGAGTCCAATACGAATGAAAATACAACAGATAATAACGATGTCTATGCATTTTATTTGTCCTTTGAAGACCCAATATAAAAATAGTTATGCAAAATGTCTCGGCACTGTTAAAATCTCGGGCCCTTTTAAAAAAAAGTTTAATATTCACTTGATCGGAAATAAAGTAAATTTTGATAAGATTAAAAATAACGATAAGAATAATATTAATTATTATAATAATAAAATTAAATATTGTAATAATAAAATTATAATCAATGATAAAATATATATTTGAATATAAATAAAAAGGTAATAGTAAAATGAAGTATTAAAAAACATTATTAAAGATATTAAATTAAAATTTACATATAATAAAAATTTTAGATTATTTGATATTTATGAAATAATAATTAATTAAAAATTACTAAAATTATTTTATATCAAATAAAAATTTTCTTAATAAATAAATAAAAATTAATAAAAATGATAGTAATATATCTAATGATTTTTTTAATATATTGAGTTCTCAACTTTTTTATTTACCATGTTATATTTAATGACTAATATTAATTTTATATTAAGTGTTATTCATTTATTTAATTTATGATGAATATTTTTGTTTATTATTTATTTATATTAAGTTTAAGGTTTTTAAAGAGCATTTTAAAAAAATTAATTATTTAAGGATATAATTAGACAAAAAACAATAATGTAACAAAAATTAAATGTTATGTTCTAAATTCACTGAAGTATTTTAATCTTAAATTTCCAAGTATATGAGTAAAATTGTAATAAAAGAATATGAATAAAGATAAAAAATCTAAAATTAGATGTGATGAGTTATCATCAATGTTGTTAATACCATATTGGACAATATTTTAGTTTTTTTTTAAAAAGTGTAGTATATGTTGGTATTAGTTGTTTGGATATATTATTTGAGATTTTTTTTGTTTAGTATAAATATACATGATCTTGTACATAATAATATTATTAATAAATTTCAAAACAAATATACAATATCTTCAAAAATCAAATAAATAAGTTTAAAAACATTAAAAAAATTATAAATTTTTATGATATTTTTAAATATTTAATCTAATCATATGATATTTAAATAAGTATTTTTCATACAAATATTAAGATAAAAACAAAAAGATATAAAAAATTAACCTTGGTTTTATAATTGCTAAACTTTAGAAAGGGATCACAATTATTTTCTTGAAAGAGATTAAAATACTTATAAACTTTGGTTCGAAAAAATAAAATATAAAAGAATAAAAATTATAATAAAAAATAGAGAAACTTAACTTTTAAAAATTATTTTATCAATTAATTTTATTTTTATTAGATTAAAAATAATCAAAT